TAATAAATAGCTCAATTCTCTGCCTGAAGCCTTCACGACCGGGGTTTCGTTATACCTGAATGGAAACATTATATTATAATTTTTGTACTATCACTTTCATAGGATATGGAGAGTGTAGCCTACATAATATAGACAACAATAACAAAGAGAGTCGCTATGATCCCAATAACAGCAAAAATGGCTGGAACAATGGAATAGAGTGAACTCCATCTCATGTGTTTTAGATGTGCTATCGACAAATCGTAACATCCTTTTCGATCCTCGGTTGGCCACCTTAATGAAAATACATTTAATTTTTTTCCAGATTTCTTCAATTTTCAACTTTCTCCAAATCTTGCTCAAAATACAGTACTAAATTACCCACTTTTAGCGAAATCGGTTCTAAATTTAAGTTTTACTTTCTGCCTCAGAGTCATGGAGAATAAAGTTAGCTTGGTTTGAAGTATTAAAGCTGCTGGTCAGAAGATTTGTGGATCATGGTTTCAAATTATTAAAAATAGAAAAAAGAACTGCGGTTACTGTAAGGTAAGAATGACTAGATTCCATGGAGAATGCCTAATATAGAAAAATTTGAGGAAACCCAACTACTTTAATGTTTTTGTACGTTTAGAGAATCTGGATGCACATAGAAAAAGGCGGAAAGAAGGCGCAGTTTTTAGGACACCTCATTTTTCACTTTCTTTTCTTCAAAACGACTTTTACCATAGTCTGTAATCAAGAAGAAAACTCCGTATGCCAACCGAAATTGAAATCCAAAGCAAGTAAGTTCTGTGATTTTTTGAACGACAAAATTAAGAAAGTGATTCAAAGCATACCAGCCAAGGTCACAAGCTACACAGTGCGTTTCATTGATAAGAAATTCGTAGTCCTCACATTTGCTACAGGCCCAGCAGCACTGTTCATCCTAGAACATAAATTGGTTTTCGTTACAGAAAAAGTAGCACTTGTATACTCGTCTTAAAATAGGAAAAAAGAGACTTATGTGTGCACCTTAATTAGCTGCTTCCTGTATCCAGTCCGACATTCCAGCGAACACTGAGAGAATGGGATCTGGTCCGTACCCCACCAAAGCTCGTCCTCATAGATGGTAAGCTGTAAGCTAATTTTAAAGGAATGCGCTATTTAGACAACAGAATTACGCTAGGTTGTCAGAATTTAACTCGAAATTT